GTCTTACATAGGGCTCAAGATATAAGCCATATCAGGCCACCCCTTCAACAGGTTCCCCATCTTTAGGAAGCATGTCTTACATAGGGCTCAAGATACAAGCCATATCAGGCCACCCCTTCAACAAGTTCCACATCTTTAGGAAGCCTGTCTGCTGCACAGCGCATACCCAAATTAGAAGCAGTTGTATCGGCTGAATTCTGGCTCCTTGAAGCACTGCGATATCGGTAACAATAGGACTAGGAAAGATCAATGAAGTATAACAATGTATTATTACAGTTGCTCTTTATAACATTATGCTCCATGAAACTTTGGTACAAGTGGTACCCTTCCCTGGCTACACCCTGGTCAAGGGTGTGGTCAGTGAAGGGTACAGCATGTTTAAAGTAATATGTAACTTACTTTATGGCACATGTATGAGCCTCCTTTCTTGACTTTATCTTTTCCATTTGGAGGACCAGTCTAGTAACAGAAATGAAAATGTTCAAAATAGTCAAGGATAGTTTTTCACCATTAAAAAACAATTTTATCTGTAAGTTTTCTGCAAAGGATTGCTCAATGAGCAGTAAGAAATACCTTTAATGCTTCCTTTCCTTTCCTTTCCTTCCTTCTCTCCTACTTTTCATGAAAATCCTTCCATAATAAAGCAACTCACCGGGTTGTCTTGGAAATCCTTGGTATGTCTGGTGCTCCACCAGTCGGCGGTCCATTCCCACGCATTTCCAACCATATTGTACAATCCATATCCATTGGGAGGGAACGCTGTCACAGGACAAGTCCCTTCATAGCCATCCTTGGCTGTATTCTGGATAGGGAATTTACCTTGCCATAAATTGGCCATAAACTTACCATCATGTTTTAAGTTGTCACCCCAGGGATACAATCTAGATGGAAAAATGCTTGTCAAATATTTAGACAAAATTATTCACCTCTTCAATTTGTTCTATAAAATGGTATACATGTAAGAAATAGCCCCCTTCACAGTTCCCTGCGCCATCTTGAAAGGTAGCCTTACCTTTGAATCAAAGGGAGACGAACGGTGAGCTTGCAATGATAGAGACATGCGAATAATTGTCTAAGGTGTTAAAAAAAGGTCTCTATCATTGCAAGCTCACCGTTCGTCTCGCTTCGATGCAAAGACACAGCTACCTTTCAAGATGGCGCAGGGAACTGTGAAAGAGGCTATTGCAAGCAACATAGAATTGAAAGACATTTCACCTAATTCAATACACCTTGTTAACACATGAAAGCCTTAAAAGTGATAAAGTGTTTGACTGTTGGTGGATGGAAAGTTGATCTCAACATACGTGTCATCTGATCCACCTTTCAGAGCATACTCAAACTCAGCTTCAGTTGGAAGTCTCTTGCCAGCCCATTTACAGTATTCAACAGCATCATTCCAAGAAATGTGTAGGACAGGATGGTCCATTCTAAAGAAATGAAAACGAGAAAATATTAGCCTGTGTTATTTGGCGGTTTTGTGAAGAAGAAGACAGAATGCTTGTCCCTCCCCCAATCTTTGCAACAACACAGACCACCAAGCGACGTCCTTTTGACCGGTAATATTGAACCAGAAACAAAGTATGACCGAGCTAAAATTAATATGGCTGGTTATCATGACTGCAAATGACTGGCCATGAAGGAGTTTAATGTATAGTGTACCTGTCTTTGATATGCGAGTCTGGTCCTTCAGGTCTTCTCCAGTAAGCACCTTTAACTGGCAACCACCAAGGTGCTGCCGCAACCTAAACACAATATATATTCCAAAACTATACAAGTAAAATAGGAGTTTTTAATCTATATTGGTTAATTTATAATCATATCAAATAATGGTACTTATCTAAAGGATATCATTTTGTGTTGTACTAAAATTTTGAAGTTTCAATTGAGTTTCAGGGCTTACAATAAATAAATGGTCAGTTGCTGGTCACGACGACTAGCCAGATTAGTTTGAACTCTATCATACCGTGTTTCTGGCTCAACACTACTGTTCAAAATGACAGGCAATGCAAATATTCTGATTTGACATTGTCCAATGACCAGCTGTTATTTTAAGCCCTGACAGGAATTTGACCATGAAAATTCATGTTAAAGTTGAATGCAAATAATCCTCATTAATTATTCATAATTCAAAACTGTTAAAATATACTTACAGCCTGATGAATATTCTTTTGTGTTTGCTCACTGACTCTTGAACCAAGTACAAAGGAATCTCCAAATTTCTCTGCCTAGTGAAAAATACTTGTAAACTTCAAACCCCAACCGTCAGAGAGAAAAATCCATTGTGAGAGTATAGTTTTAGTTACCTCAGTTGTATATCCAGTATCATTAACAAACAGTTCAAACTCTGCATTGCTGACTTCATAAACATCCATATAAAACGGCCTGACACGGACTTTTCGTGCTGGTGCTTCGCCATCAAGAATAATAAAAGGTTTGTCTGTACCCATTGTGAAAACACCTCCCTTCAAATACACCATTTGATTCGTTCTCTTGTAAGTCGATTCACAGCCACTATTCTTCCCTTCTGGTGTTATATTTGAATCTCTTCTGTACTTATGGTCCCCAGAGTCTTCCTCATGACTAGTTTTGTCTCTTTTTAAACTCGAACAACCACATTTTTTATCATCTTTTGAAGAAGTTGTACAGTGGAGGTCCTTAGGGTTGGAGGAACCTGAGCAGGATTTTTCTTGGTCTTGTGAGCCTTGCGCGCAAAACAAAACTAAGAATATCAAAACTAATACCTTCATTATCTGCATATCTACAAATATTTCAAGAATCATCCAATATTATAATAAAAAAGGCTGTGATTCTCATTCAAAAAGACGACACATTAACAAAAATGAACCGACCGAGCGAGGTATGGGTACTACCGCGCCAACAGTAACTTGTTTCAGCGGAGTGTCCCTTTAGTCTAGAATCCAAGATGGCGGCCAAAAGTGGGGTTTGTGTCACTTTTGACCTCTTCTTCCTAATCTACGAAGATTTCGATATTAAGACATGATTTGCTTCATTTCAGGAAATGAGAGAAACGATTGAACAGGCGGCACAGGCTGGTGAAAGGTTTAGTGAGTTGTATTATCAGACATTCGACAAGAGTCGACATGTAAGTTTAAACTGCATATTTTAAGCTCAAAAGAGTGTTTTTTCTTTTTTCTTTGAAATCAGTAGCATCCAGACGTTTGAGTTTTGGATTCCATCAATTGCAATTTTTTCATGCTCAGTCTTGTTTCTTCAGAATACCCGACCATGCACCTTGAATTCGAAAAAAGCAAGTCTCCCCGATTAGTAGGGCACTTGTGCCCAGCTAGAAGAATTAGAGACATTAATAAAGTTATTATTGTTACATTAATAAAATTATTATTATTATTATTATTATAAAAACGCTATAGAAGAACAATAGGGGATTTAATAATAGTGTATACATACCATTTGGTCATTTGAAGACGTACCCTTATTTTTCTTAATAAATGCTTAATGTGAATTACTTTGCAGAAAATGTCCAAATTTTACTCTGCAAATGCTACCGTGTTGTGGAATGGGAATGTGGTCAAAGGAGAACCTGACAAGTTAATGGACTTCTTCACTAACCTACCTTCAAGTCAACACACATTACACTCTTTAGACTGCCAGCCAGTTACAGGTATTCAAACGATATATTCAACTTACATCAGCATAGAGGTTGTTTCAGGGTTCAATCAATAAGTCAGGGCACAGCTGACTCACAGATCTAACCCTGAAACAACCTCTGGGCTGATCTATGTCAGGGCACAGCTGACTCACAGATCAAACCCTGAAACGACCTCTGAGCTGATCTAAGTCAAGGCATGGCTAACTCACAGATAGAACCGTGAAACAACCTCCGGGCTGATCTAAGTCAGGGCAAGGTTAACTCAAAGATCTAACCCTGAAACAACCTCTGTACTGATCTAAGTCAGGGCACGGGTAATTCACAGATAGAGCCCTGAAACAACCTCTGGGCTGATCTATGTCAGGGCACAGCTGATTCACAGATCAAACCCTGAAACAACCCCTGGGCTGATCTAAGTCAAGGCACAGCTAATTATCAAATTGGATTGAATTTAGTATTTCATAAAAAAATTCCATCTGTATGAATTCATTTATTTCAGATCAAGCCATACCAGGCCATAAGACTATTCTTGTCATTGCTGAAGGATCTGTCAAATACGATGGACACAAAGTAGAAAATTTCTCACAGAACTTTCTTTTGACTGTTGAAGGAACAGTGTGGAAAGTAGCTAGTGACTGTTTTAGATACATAGAATGAACTAAAAAAGATATGAAATGTAAATACAATCCAACATTGTTCTATATACAATATGTTGTACTAAGTTACATTAGAAGATTGAGAGTGGAGAACAGATAGTGTTGGTACACTTCAGTTTTTGCCCAAGGATATCTTCAATTCTTGTTAAGAATATTTATTCGTAAGTACCAGTGAAGATCCATGGAATTCTAAAGTGTTTATACCCTAAAGTGGTTCCTTCTTCATATTTAAAAAAAAAATTCCTTGCATTGTAACCCTCCCTCCCCTCCACCTCCTCCTTCCCCCCGATCCAAACAACAGCCCTACTTTACTGCAGTTTTTTATGTCCTTAATTCTTGAGTCTTTCAAGATGTTCTAAATGATACATGACGCTGTACACTAATCACTCAGCATAAGACATCGGAACTTCAAATTACAATCTATTCTAAGAACTTTATTAACAAATATGCTTTTTCAAATCACTTGCATTCACATACAGTAACTATTTCCATGTCACTTTTCTATATTTCTATGATACATTTTATCATTTTATGCAGTCTATAATAACCAGAGAATTGTATCCTGACTAGAGAATCATGCGTCACACTTGAAGAACTTTAATCCTGAAAATTTAAAACTCATTCTCAAAGAACTTATATATGAGTTTGTTATACTGAAAAAAAGAAGTATATCTTTTCTAGCTTAGCACTTGCTCCTAAAGAAAATTTCATCTTGAGTTCAGCTTGTTTCCACTAGACGCTGTATTTTAACATTGATCAACTTACATTGTCTTGAAGCTCTTTTAAGAGAGAAATAGTTTGCTATGATTTGATACATAAAGGTACATGTAACCAGTCCAGCTAGATTACATACATATATCAGGGGCGTAACTAGGGATCTTGCAGGGGAGGTGCACAGGCAATGAATTGCAGAACCAAAAAAAAGGTAACCAAAAAATAGCAGAACCAAAGAAAAACATCAGAAACAAAAAAAGGATAATGGGTGAGTGATTCTTAAAAATGCTACAATATGCAGATGGAAAGTGGTCTTCATTTAATCAAAAAAACATTTACATGCAATTTTAAAGCAAAAGGAGATAGATGAGCGGACCTTAAGCTTTTRTGGGCGGGGTGGGGGTGCACATGCACCCTGTGCTCCCCCTGGTTACGGCCCTGTATATTATTAAATATTAATTTAGTGCTTTACTCCTTGCTTAATTAGACTACTCTAGGTATAGGATATATTATACAAACGTCAACCTTCAGGTTTTTTTTTGKTTTTTTTTTGATCAAACTCCTCAAAATCGGTGTTACTTGGTTAAATATGGTATGGTGTCGTTTGGATGTCAGACTGCGGGGGTGGGGGAGGGGGAGAACCTTACGAATCTTACATCACTCATGGTGATACATAACACCGAACGTAGAGCTATACTTATGTGTATGAAAAATTGTAAGTATGTGGAAACATTGATAATATTTTCAAATTTAACGCAACATTTATAACCATTGATTGACAGCATGCTCTGTTGGCAACATCATAATAACATTTTGAGATTGGTAGGATGGTGCAAGAGATATGTATGATATACGGATATGAATGTAAGTGATATATTGATCAAAAATACTACGATATAACCACCTCTTCAGATAAAACCTTAAAGGAACGAAATAGGAAATGCGATTTAGATGCGCAAGCGCGCATAAGTATACTTCGATTTCAAGTGAGGTTTTCTAGTTCAATCTTGATTCAGTTGCTTTACGAAATTCATGCGAAATAAATCATATTAGTACGCTATTTTTAGGATTTATCGAAGTTAATTCATACCAAAACAAAGACCCAACAGCAGCGCGCGATGTTGACGACGTGATGATTAAAATTGATGTAGAAAATGTAGAGAACAAGAGAAGCAAGGTAGAGGCGCGGCTTTTCTTGTGCTCTACAACAACGTACAGTATTAACTTATACACCACGTGCGCGATCAATTCATTTTGCTCAACCACAGCATTTCCACATGGCTTTTTGTACCCAGCTTTTTGTTCCTGCTGATCCACTTCGAAAGTAGATGCCGTTCTTGTTTGCTGGAGAGAAAAAAAATGCAAATTATCAAAAAAGTATATCCACTCAGTAGAGGGAGACAACAAGAGGGTGCCAATGGTGTTAGTAATTAACTGACAATTGGCCATTAAAGAAATAGTAATCAACTGACAAATAACCTAAAATTATTAGTTAACAGCTAAATGACATTTCATTATTTTGTTAATATTATGGCCAGCACTCGTAATATTATTACAGTTTAACCGACATTCGGCCGAACAATTAGTAGGTAATTGATAATTGGGTATACCCACATTGGCACCCTTACACAGGGACATGAGTATATCTCTTCCAATAATGTGGAAATCCATCAATTCAAGATGGAAAAACTGACACCTCAGTTTGCAAATTTTCTCGAATCTGATTGGCTAACATTTTTTCTCAGATTAGCTTGTTATGGCTACTTTTACTTACCTCCATATTTGTTCGTGTTGGAATCAGACGAAACGATTTGCGGGTCACCCTCGTTAGTATGATTATCCTCAACGACCTTACGGTTTGTTTCAGCAGAAGTCTTGACTTTGGCCCAGTCATCAGGTGTTATAGCATACCAAGTATCAGCACGGGTTTGCTGCATCATGTAGGCACGTTTGTTGCTGCTGATTGCATACAGAGTCTCCCCGACATTGCCGATTATACGACCAACTTGCTCGTTTATGGCTGGAAATAATTTGATAGAGGACGATTTATAGATGTGAGTTACTGCAGGGTAAATTCATGATGATGAGGATGATACATGATTGAGAAGATACATGAGATATGATGATGAGGATATATGAAGTTGATAGTACATCAGCGATGATGATACATGATGATGATACATGATAAAGAAGATACATGATGATGATACATGATGATGATACATGGTGATGATACATGATAATGATACATATAATGGTTTGATTGTTTCATATGTATCCATTGAT